CAGCGGTAGGGGCGGTGGAGGAGGGGACTGGGGAGGGGACACCTGGGGAGGGGCGGCCGGCGAGGACTGCACAGGAGGGCCACCAGAGGCAGAAGACTCCTCAACCGGGTCCACGGACGGAAGGGGGGTGACGTGGGACACACCAGAGGGGCGGGACGGGGAGGAGGAGGAGGAGGGGCAGGGACTACCGGGGAAGGGGTGACCAGGAACAGGGGGGGGTAACCGGGGGACCACGGTGGGGAAAGCGGCGGTAGTAGGAGGCGGACTCGTCAAAGGTGACGTCACGAGAGTGAAAGAAGCGGTGAGACGGCGGGTGGTAAAAGTGCCAGTCGGACGCGTTAAGGGGAAAACCGAGGAAGACGCAGGGAAGGGTGCGGGCAGTGAGCTTGTCCGTGCCAGAGGCACGGACGTGAGCAAGGCAGCCCCAGACGTGGAACGCAGACGCGTCACCAGGGGACCCAGTCCAAAGACGGGTCGGCGAAACCTGCGGCTGATGAGGGTGCGGCCACAGGTTAAGCTGGTGAGAAGCGTAGCGCACAGCGAACGGCCACAGAAAATGGGGTGCACGGGCATGGATCATGGAGGTGCGAGCGACCTCCATGACCAAACCGATGCGTCGCTCAGCGACCCCATTCTGCTGTGGGGAGTCCGGTAGGGTGAACGTCCGGGTGATGCCCTCCGCACGACAAAAGCGACCAAGGACACCGGAGGCAAATTCACCACCACGGTCTGAGTGAAGACGCAAGACAGGGAGACCGCGGTGGACACGCGCAGAGACAAGCCAGGGGATGAGAGCGCCAGGCACGTCGGCCTTGCGCTCCAGGGGAAAGACGGTGGTGTAACGAGTGAAGTCGTCGACAAGCACAAGGAAGTAGCGCTCTCGACGCGGCCCAGGGACGGGGGCGGGGCCCCAGACGTCCAGGTGCAGGGTCTGCAGCGGCGCGGCGGTAGGGGAAACGAGGAGGAGTGAGGGGCACGGCGAAGCCGACCCTCGACACAAGGCGTGCAAGGTGGGGCTGGAGAGGAGGGAAACGCGGGGAGCGAACCTGGGAGACCAAGGACGAGGCCGTGCTGAGACATGTGACGCAGACGCGGGAGCGCAGGGTGACCTAGGCGGTGGTGCCACAGGAGGGTCGGGTGAGTGAGGGAGCGACAGGAGCAGGCAGCAGCAACCTGGGTAGACGCAGCCACCTGAGGGGGCGCTCCAGCCGGGGGGGTCACGGTGTTCAGAGTGAACAGGCCGGACACCGGGTCCCGGGGGAACGTGGACAGGGGGGCACCAGTGGCGGCCTCGGTACAGACAGCATACCGCTCGTGACCAGGGAACGTAGTGGTGACGCCAAGGTCCTGGAGGCAGCCGACACCAACTAGGTTCCTGGGAGAACGAGGGATATGCAGACCTGTAAGAGAACCCGAAGGAACCGCCGGACAGGGAAGGGTGGTGGAACTGCGGGCGACTACCGGACCGCCGGAGGGGTCAGCAAGAGAAACGGCAGCAGGAACAGGAAGCGGCGTCAGGGTGGTGGAGTCGCGGAAGAAACACCGAGAGGCGCCAGAGTCCAAGTGAAGGAAAGCGAAGCCGAGGGGTCTGGCGACGGAACGACGGCGGAAGCACCAAGACTACACAAAGCAGGGGATCCTACGCCTGACGCAGCAGGGGAGGCTAAGCTAGGCACACATACACTAGGCAACAGTGAGTAATAAGCGGGAAGCACACTAGAGTCATCAGCATACATCACATGCAGAGCAGAAACAATGGCATCCATGTCCATATCAAAAATCTGAATCTGACGACTAAGCAAACTGTGCCAGTCCGGGAGGTCTGGCGACGGGCCGAAGCGCTGACGAAAGAGGTCGTCCAGGCGACGAAAACAGCGGGGAGTGGAGTGACCGAGCTTACCGCAAACGAAGCCGCGGCGAGGACCGGTCTGGATCTGGTACTGGCAACGCCCGCCGCCAGAGCCACCACGCGGCACACCACCACGCGCCCGGCCACCGCCAGCGCCGGGCCACCCTGGCGGGAGGACACTCGTCTGCCGCGTCTGCGACGGCTGCTGCGAAGGCTGCGACTGCGGCGGCTGCTGCGGCTGCTGCACCTGCAGGGGCGGCGACTCAGCTGAACTGGGCAGGGTCCCCTCGTCCACTCCAGCACCAGGCGACCCGACCCCACCACTACCCCGCCCGCACCCCGCCGCCTCCTCCGCCGCGCCCAGCCTTGGGGGCGGCGACCCTTCCCCGAACGGACCTGCGCTGCAGCAGCAATCTCAGCCACTGCGGCAGAGCCGTCGGAGAAGGTGCACTGAGCGGGGGGCACAACCCTGAAAGATAGGGACCTGCACGACACCGCTCGCCTGGGCAATGGAGCGGTGACGGGTCTCTTTCACAGTCAGGGTGTCTACAAAGTCAGTGAGGGTGAGGTCTGCAGGGTGAACGCTAAGAAAGCGGTCGCGGGCGACAGCAAGGCGGTCAGGGAGGCGGGTGGCAAGCAGGTAGAGGGTAGAGGTAATGGGCGGCTGGTGGGCTCTAAGCTGGGCGTCAGTGCAGGCAGCGCGCCAGGTCTCATCTATCGAGCGCAGGTGGGCAGCGAGGTCAGAGACAGTGGGGAAAGATGCAAGGTCAGGAAAGAGCATCGGAAGGATCAGGCGACCCACCGAGGCAGCGGAGGGGTGGAATAGCGCTTGATCACAGCATCCAAGTATGCCTGAGAAGTAGTGAGGGACCTAAAGCGAGGACGCTCGGATGGGGGAAGGGCGTTGCTAATGGCAAGCTGGGGCAACAGCATCGCGAGAAAGCCAGACAGAGCGCGCACGGGCAGTGGCAGCAGTAGCCTCACGCTCAGTGGGTGTGGGGTCAGCGGGCAGAATAGCAGGGGGGTCTGGGCAGGGGAGCGTACCGTCAAGGTGTGCGGAAAGCGGTTCACCATCCTGCCGCTGGCCAGTGAGTTGACGGCGGAGGTCAGCAAGCCACGCCTCGAACTCTAGGGGCTGACCTTCAGCGTCGAAGCGAAGCTCCGCCGCCATCAGGAACAGTCCAGTGCAGTGCAGGGCAGTGCAGTGCGGAGCAGTGCGGTGCAGTGCGGTACAGTGCGGTGCAGTGCGGTGCAGTGCAGTGTAGTGCGGTGTAGTGCGGTGCCAGGCAGTACAGTGTGGTGCGGGGCGGCACGGAGCAGGGCGGGGTGGGGGGGAACCGTACCAGTGAGGAGGACGGGGCCGGGGCTGGCCCGACGGGGCCGGGCGGGCGCGACGGGGCCGGGCTGGTGCGACAGGGCCGGGACGGGGCGACGGGGCCGAGCGGGCGCGACGGGGCCGAGCGGGCGCGACGGGGCCGGGCTGGGGCGACGGGGCCGGGCGAGTGCGGCAGAGCCGGGCCGGTGCGACGGGGCAGGGCGAGCGGACGGCGACCGGGCGGCTGCGACGGGGCCGGGCGGCTGCGACGGGGCCGGGCAAGGGCGACGGGGCCAGGCGGCTGCGACGGGGCCGGGCGGCGCGACGGGGCCAGGCGGCTGCGACGGGGCCGGGCGGGCGCGACGGCCGCGGGCGGCGCGCCAGGGCCGGGCGGCTGGGACGGCGCCGGGCGGGCGCGACGGGGCCTGGCGGCTGCGACGGGGTCGGGCAGGGTGCGACGGGGCCCAGGAGGGGCGCGACAGAGCCCAGGAGGGGCGCTACAGGGCCTGGGCGGAGCGCGGCGCGGCCCAGGAGGGGCGCTAGGGGGCCTGGGAGGAGCGCGACGGGGCGCTACGGGGCCTGGGAGGAGCGCGACGGGGCCCAGGAGGGGCGCTAGGGGGCCTGGGAGGAGCGCGACGGGGCCTGGGAGGGGCGCGACGGGGCCTGGGAGGGGCGTTACAGGGCCCAGGAAGGGCGCTACGAAGCCCAGGAGGGGCGCGACGAGGCCCAGGAGGGGCGCTACGGGGCCCAGGAGGGGCGCGACGGGGCGCTACGGGGCCTGGGAGGAGCGCGACGGGGCCCAGGAGGGGCGCTAGGGGGCCTGGGAGGAGCGCGACGGGGCCTGGGAGGGGCGTGACGGGGCCTGGAAGGGGCGTTACAGGGCCCAGGAGGGGCGCTACGAAGCCCAGGAGGGGTGGACGAGGCCCAGGAGGGGCGCTACGGGGCCCAGGAGGGGCGCGACGGAGCGCTACGGGGCCTGGGAGGAGCGCGACGGGGCCCAGGAGGGGCGCTAGGGGGCCTGGGAGGAGCGCGACGGGGCCTGGGAGGGGCGCTACAGGGCCCAGGAGGGGCGCTACGAAGCCCAGGAGGGGCGGGACGAGGCCCAGGAGGGGCGCTACGGGGCCCAGGAGGGGCGCGACGGGGCGCTACGGTGCCTGGGAGGAGCGCGACGGGGCCTGGGAGGGGCGCTAGGGGGCCTGAGAGGAGCGCGACGGGGCCCAGGAGGGGCGCTAGGGGGCATGAGCGGAAGCGGTGGTGGGGGGGATCCTACCTACGCGTGATACCATATCAAAAATGAGAATTGAATATTGTCAAGTGAGAGTACACACAAGTATACCTAAGTATTGTACCCTCTAAGAGGTAACCCTATACAGTCTATACAAACATGACAAATGCAGATGTTTGACAGTGTGTGGGGCATGTCTCTAGCGATTGGGGACTTCACCAATTTTTCCGAAGGTTGGTACTATACAAGTAATGAGTCAGGGTCTGTACGCGCTGTGCTCTGAAAACTCAGTACTGGGTTAGCGACAACTCTGATTTTCTCAGGATCCCTAGAATCGTACTCTGAAGGGATCAGGATTGGGAAAATGCCTTATCTGGAAATTCAGGTTTGGCCAAAAAACAGGTCTGAGATTTCAGACTAATCAGAGTAAATAGTCTGATAAAGTAAGCCCTGATCATAACTTGCATTGTGCCAAATGTTATTGTGCTAAACAGTCATGATGGCAAAGGTGTACTTGCGATTGATCCAGTGACACTCGAAAGCAGAGGCTACCTCACCAACATGTGTGGGGTACTGTAGCAAGCTGTGGTAGTCCAGGCTGAAATTGCAACTTCCATTCCATTTATTTATTCCACCTGACAGTGATGACATGACAACCGTTGCATTGACAAGTCAGCCGCTCGCATAGAAAGCTTGTTGGAACAGCTCAAGGGTCTATCATTCCTATACATTCTATACAGGGCCTATTTTCTTGTGGAACACTAACTTAATCAGGTCTCAGCCAACGGAGCCACGTCCTTGCATGGAGGCGCGAAGGCCAGGGTAGTAGACGACGAGGTAGTAGCTAGCCGGCTGCTCCATGTACGGCTTCACGTACGCGTCGTACTGCGCCTGGGTGATCCCGTCGTACGACGCCGTGTGCTTGAGCGAGTTCCGCCCCTTCATGAGAAACGGCTTCATCGGGTTGTAGCCGCTCGACTTGATCTTCTGCCACCCACGCTCTGGTACCCGCTGAACGCTTCCGACCCGCCGGTGCCGGGCTTGCCCTTGAAGAGGCGGTAGTACGGCGCGGCGCCTTGGTGAAGGCGTCGTAGAGCTCGATGGACATGGTCTGCGTGTACGTGCCGTCGTCCCTGCGACGGATGAAGGCAAGGGAGGGGGGAATGGAGGGCGGGAGGGTGCGAAGGTGAGGTGTTGACGCAGCACGGTTGATTGCTGCTGGCGCTGTGCTGTGTGGCACCCGGTTTCCCCGTCTACGAGACGGAGCGGCTGGCAGTGACACGTCGGGGGAGGACGAGGCAGCTCATGCGACTCACTTCTTGTAGACGCGGAGGCTGGCATGGCCGCTGGAGATCATCTCCTTCTTATTCCGCGAGTCCAGCTTGAACGCCACCGAGCCTGCGCGCGCACGCACACATGCACCGCGGGTTAGTTGGCGGGGCGCACGCACGAGCACCAAGAGGGAAACGAAACGGGCGAGCATGCGACGAGGAAACGCGCGAAAGGAATTAATAGTTCCACTCACTGACGAGCTCGGCCAGCTCGCGGCGGGATGATGCGGCTGCATGCGCTAGAGGCGCCACGACGGCGCCTGTGCGGATTCAGGGGGAATGGGACGGGGAGGAGCGCAGGGGAGGTGGGTTACGACGAGTACGCCAGCACAAAGCGAGAAGCGTCTCTAGGATCCTGGGGTGCGGGCCCGGCATCGTAAGCGAGAGAGTGGTGCAACGCGTAGCGTGCAAGGTGAGCGAATAAAGGCATGTTGGGCTCGCAAGGCCTTACAGATTATGGCGAGGAGAACTAATATCCGTTGAGTTCCCATTCTGAGGGCGAATGAAGCAATGGAGGGTATTCCAGGTAGCTGCGCTCTAAACTAGGTTGCGGACGGAATAAAGGCTCCTCGTTCTCTTCGGCACGGTATGGGATTATTACGTCGCCGCTATTGCGTAATCTTCTAACAACTATTGTAAGTAACCGCGCATTCAGCTGAGGTACTTCCGATTTGGTACTCTAAGATAAAAGAGCGGCAAATATAGAAGCTCACGCTCGCACCGACAACATCTAGGCAGCATGCGGAGGTCCAACAGGGACTGGTGTCGGTGGGACCTAAGAGCACAATGGCCGTCTGGTTTACTGGGGTCTGGGGGGGGACGAAGAGTGCACCACCTCGTGGAGTGACGAAGCAGGGAATGGCATCCATCGAGCCACCGACTCGAATTCGCTTGGCTTCCAGGGGGTTGCGTGCATTGAGAGGGGGAAATTCTCCAGCCCCACTGCGCGGGTCGCCGTGGGAACCAAAATTTCGCGCACAACTTGGCAAAGCGCGCATCACGTCACGGGGCCCCACGTCCAAGCACGGAGAATGGAATGGCCTGTTCCAGAAACAGAGGCTTCGCCACAATCTCACTTCGACGTGATTCTTCATCGTTAGCCGTTGGACTTGAAGAGTTAGATATTGCGCTTTACAACTCCGAACCTTTTCACAGGCTTATACAATGTCGAGCCTTGCGATGACGAATTTGTCAGAGGGCTTGACCTTTCCCAACCAATTGAGTTGCTCTGCTGTTCCCGCTCCTTCTTCCTTCCCTCCCGCTCGCTTCAGCACCTTTCGGTAGTGTCGCAAATCCAAGATCACTCCAGCAAGCCTCCCTAGATTCCGTCAAGCCAAGCCAAGCCACCACTCTGCCATGACTTCTGAATCTCATTTGTAGCTTCTGGCTGAAACAGTCAAGAGCGTCGTAGAGAGCAAAGCGCGATTTGGGCCTCCGTTTCTGAATGCTTGGTGCTAGGGCTACGAGACTAGCTTAGAGATTTTCAACAGCTTTAGTCCTGCGGTAACCATAGAATCAAGATGCACACAATGGCGTACGTTTACAGACTATGCGCATTCGGCATACTGCTGCTGCTGGGACTTATAGCTAGAGCTAATGCCTCCGTGCACCCCTATAAGGGAAATCGGTTTTTCCACACCGCGGATGCTTTCCTGTTCCGCGGCGGGCGGGAGGGTCTCTTCTCGTCCACGCCTGAAGCGGTGGCGCACTGGACGACCATCGGGAAAGCCGTCGCGAACGGCAAGGCATACGTCAGGTGCGTGTGCTACGAGAGGTCCCGCGTCCTGTCTTGCCCTGCTGACTCGTTGAATTTCGCTACTGATGGCCATGAATGATAAGTGAGGATAGTTTGTCTACTTGAAATAACGATAATACGGTGATTGATTTGGGTACTCGGAGAAACTAATAAGATTGAAAAACACCGCGTTGGATGAGAAGCAGTGGTGGCATGTGAGAGCGAGATGCGCCAGGACGAGCTGCAGCGGTCGGATTTTGGACCACTGCTTTGGGATCCAACTGGCACCATGCTTGTTGCGTCTCGGCTCGGCCTGTCACCTCACGTCTCGCCTCGCAAGTCTCAGGCCTGTCACCTCACGCTGGACGGCGCTTCTCGGACATTCGCGCGAGTTTTTTGTCAGTAGCAGTCTGATCCGTCGGCCAGTGCCAGCTTTCCCATGTTTCGCGAACCACGAGATGGCAGTGGCGACTATCGCTACCCTTCGAATCGCATTATGAATCGCAATCCCGGCCCCCTCGGTTCCCCATCCCCTCGCCCCCACCCCCTGCGCCCCGCAGGTTCCAGCACCTGACGTTCCACCGGCCCATCTGGGAGGCGCGTGACGCGCCGGTGGCGGGGCAGACGGGGCTGATCGAGGCGCTGCTGTTCGAGGTGGGCGGACCGCGCGCGCATTGGCCACACGTCGCCCACCGGCACGCGCTCCTTTCTGCTGCACGCCCGAGCTCGTGCGCAAGACAGGGTGCAACCCCGGCCATCTCATCGTGCGCCCCGCGCGACGACGACAGTAAGGTCCGCCAGGGGGCGGTGGAACGGGCTGAAAAGGGAAGGGGGGGGGGGGGGGGGGACAGGGCGGTGATGAGGTGGTGAGGGGGTGGTGAGGGAGAACTGAGGGCCCGCCGGTCCGAGTGGCTGGTTGAGAACGGCTCTGCAGCATTCTTTGTCCACTCCAGGCACCTCCCTTCCACTCCAGGCACATCCGTCCCACACCTCTCCCACGCCTTCCCATTCCGCCCCAATCAGCGACTGTTGCGGTACATCCCGCCATACCCTCCCCCCGTCCCCCTCCCGACCCCCCCCTCCCGCACATCCCGCCCATAACTTCCCCGCTCCTCCCCTCCCCCGACCCCCAGTGGCCGCGCGTGGTGCCGTGATGGGCAGCGGCAGCAAGGTGCAGGCGGCGGCCTCGCCAGTGACACACCCTCAAAGCCCATCCCTTGCATTCTCCTCCCCTTCCCCTCCCACCTCCCCCCCCCCCTCCCCCTCCTTCCTCCCCCTCTTTAGTGGCCGCGCGTGGTGGAGATCAACTTCATGGGCAACGACAGCGCGGTGGAGGCGGCGCCGTCGGAGATCCACATAACGCGCACGGGCATGTACTACCTGTGGTTCGTCATCTGCGACAAGAACCTCGCCGAGGTTTCGGTGACGGGCGGCACGGTGTGGAAGAACCCCTCGGGCTACCTGCCCGGCATGATGACGCCCTACCTCAACTTCTTCGGCGCCATGTCCATCGTGAGCCACGCTGGCGCTGCTACTCCTGCTTTTAGCGACGCCCCCCTTCCTCTTTCCGCCATGTCCATCATGACCTGCTTCTGGTGGGCTGTGCTGCTCCTGCTCCCACCCGGCCCCCTCCCTCTTTCCCTCCTCTCTGGGATCCTCCTTGACATTCCCCCCCACCCTCCTCCCTGCCCTCGTTGCCACGCTCTCCGTATGCCCCTGCACACTGTCCGCCGTCGACTCATGGGAGCAGTGCATGTGCGACCCCCCCCCTCTCTTCTCTTCCACACCTCATACCCCCTCTCTCCCCCCCCCACCCCTCAGGCGTACCTGCTGCTGGGCGTGCTGTGGCTGCTGCAGTACGTGCGGTTTTGGCGCGACGTGGTGTCGCTGCAGCACTGCATCACGGCGGTGCTCTTCCTCGGCATGGTGGAGATGGCCGCCTGGTACTTCGACTTCGTCAACTTCAACGCCTCGGGGTACCGCCCCATGGGCATCACGGTGTGGGCGGTGTCGGTGGGCGCCGTGCGCAAGACGGTGTCGCGCATCCTCATCCTCGTCGTCGCCATGGGCTTCGGCGTCGTGCGCCCCACGCTCGGAGGGCTCTCGGGGAAGGTGGGGCAACGAGGGAGGCGGGTGGAAGGTTGTGTGTGCCGCTTTTCACAGCAGCCAGGGAAACCCATTGCTTGCCGCCCTGATGGCCTCAGCGGTGGCTCACGGCTATCTGTATCACTTGCTTGCTGCCCTGCCACTCGCTCGCTTCCCTGCCCACCAGGTGCTGGCGCTGGGCGGGGCGTACCTGGTGGCGGCGGAGGGGCTGGACGTGATGCAGAACGTGGGCGCCATCGACGACCTCAGCAGCGGCGAGCGCGTGATCCTGGTGCTGCCCGTGGCCGTGCTGGACGCCGCCTTCATCCTCTGGATCTTCACCGCCCTCTCCAAGACGCTCAGCCAGCTGCAGGTGCGTCCAACGCGCTCAGCCAGCTGCAGGTGCATCCAACGCGCTCAGGCAGCTGCAGGTGGATGCGTGGCTGCAGGCAGTGTGGTTTGGTGAGGCTGGATTCACCGGTGCGACATGTTGGAGAGGGAGAGCACAAACTGGCATGCAAGTGCTCAGCTGTGCGTGGAGGGCTTTTGCTTCCCCCTGCCTCGCCATATTCGTTCTGTGTCCGCCCTCTCACAACTCACGTCCTCCCCGCCCCCTCCTTCTCTCTGTGGTGTGTGCGGTGCGGTGCGGTGCATC